GACAGGTGTGGGCCCTTGGGGAGCCTGGGGCGGGAGGGGACCCCGGGGAAGTGCGGGGGTTTTGGGGAGGCTGTCGGCACCTGGGACGGCGGGAGGGTGCGGAGAGCCTGGGGGAAGGGGCAGCAGTGGGGGCGGCGCCCCGAGCCTGGGCAGAGGAGTGCGGGCTCTGGGGGAGAGCCTGGCTCCCCGCTTACACCCCCCCTGGCAGGGCGGGAGCGGGTGGCCGGGACACAGACCTGGCGCTTCCCAGGCGTGTGTGTCCCGTCCCTTCCCCTCGAGAAGCTCAGAGCTGCTGTGCCTCTTCCAGACACACCGGGAAGTCGTCGCCCCCCCGCACCCCCCAGCCCTGCAGTGCTGCTGAACCCTCCGTGGGGGACACCCTGGCAGAGACCCCGCTCAGGCTGGTGCCAGTTTAGCTGTGCTGCTGGGAGAAGTCACAATTACACCTTCGCTGCGAGCCATTTATTCCCTAGTTGCTGTGCTTTGGTCTCCTACGCTAAAGCTGCTCTCACAGTCTTTTTTTTTATTTATTTTTAGGCCAGTATGGTACATTCATTGATTGAAGCGTATTCCTTACTTGACCAGATGAAGTAAGTGCTCCTATTTTCTGTGAAAAGAATATTTTCTTCTTTGCTGAGGTTTAGAAGATACTGAGTAACTGCAGGTCTTACACTGTCCCTGCTGGCGGTGTGATTATAGGAGTCCACGCAATGTGTATTTCTAGGATCTAAGGAAAGGCTGTTTGTTTTGCTAAATGGACAAGATTATGGTAATTACAGCAGGTGTAATTTGTGGTTACCCTTCCTGGTCTGATGGAGCGCTTTCTCCATAGAGCGTTATATTGCCTGCTGCTCTCGTGGCTCTGAGCAGAAGCGATGGTTGTTGGTGCTGCTTCCAGTCCACTGGCCAGTGCTGATGCTGAGAGGGACCATGTTGTTTTGCTGTGTTGTGATTGATTTGGGAGACTTTTTTTGAGGTCTTAGTGCTGTTCAGGAGACAGGACAAGAGGAGGTCTGAGGTGGAAGTGTGAAGAACACTCTTGCACCATTAAGGAATATGAAAGGAGGGGAAAAAAGGCTTAGTTCAGCCTCTCTGATGTAGCATCTCATAAAATCTTTACAAAAATCCCATGTTCCAGTTCAGCAGGGCCATAAAATCCTATCGGGACTTTTTTTTTTAAAGGATTTTTTTATCTTTCTGGCATTGTGGTAGAACATGTTTAGGAGATGGCTGCAGTACCATTACAGATGCAGGCCCAAAGGGCTGTTCGCCCTGCCATAGGGTGAGAAGTGCCCAGCACCTGGACTAGCCTAGAGCTGGGAGCTTCTTGCGTTCTTCCAGTAGCAATGGAGCTGTGCTGCGTTGCCTGTATGTGCCCCTAGAGTTTGAGGTTTGAAGAGGGCTTTAACACATCACAAGATTTATTTAGGCAAATTGCAAAGCACCCAAACTCAGGAAAGGTGATGTGTGAGTTACTGAGAACAGAGATGGTCTCTGCTTTGAATGCATGTGGAGTTAAAAGCATGTAAAAGGTGCTGCTCAGCTCTTGACCCAGCAGGCTGGTGTCCTGCCACAGCACTGGACTGGGCCTGGATGTTTTCACTCTGTTATTTCCTCCGTGCGTAACCAGAATGTTGGATCTACTAGGGATTGCTCAAACTGGGAGAATGTGCAAAAAAGGGAAAAAAACTTGAAACAAAGTGGAAGGGTTAAGGCAGGAAGCACCTGCAGGTGTTCCTCATTGGAGTGGGCACAGTAGACAGTGCCAGGCTGGGGGAAAGGCCTACTCTAGCTCAGCTGAATGGCTTTCTCACTCAAAATATGTCCTGGTTTTGGCTGGGGTTGAGTTAATTTTTCTTCTTAGTAGCTAGAATAGTGCTGTGTTTTGGATTCAGTATGGGATTTGATATGAGAAGAATGCTGATAATACACTCATATTTTCAGTTGTTGTTAAGAGATCAAGGACTTTCCCACTCCCTGTGTCCTGCTTGTGTGTAGGTGTACAAGAAGTTGGGAGGGAGCATGGCCAGAGCACCAGACCCAAATTAGCCACTGAAATATTTCATATCGTGTAATGTCATGCTCAGTATATAATGGAGGGTCGACTGGGAAGAAGGAGGTTCTCTTTCACTTCCAGGATTATTAAATTGTTTTTTATCTCTACCTATGAGTTTCCCTTTACCCTCCAATCACCCTATTCCCTGGGTGGTGGCGGGTGAGCGGGCAGCTGTGTGGTGTTTGGCTGCTGGCTGGGTTTAAACCATGACAAAGTGACAGTTCAGTGTGAGAGGAGGAGTGGGTTTTGCTTTTTCACCAGTAACTGCTAAAAAAAAGGCTTCTAGTGTGAGGAGGTTAAAGCTGGGCATTCCAGCTGAACTCTGGAGCCTCTTGTCCTGATGTGCTCCTTTCCTCCTGTCTTCCTAGGATAGTCAAGCCAAAAGTGGCCTCCATGGAGGAGATGGCAAGCTTCCACACAGATGCCTACCTGCAGCACCTGCAGAAGGTCAGTGAGGAGGGAGATGATGACCATCCGGAGTCCGTGGAGTATGGACTGGGTAAGGACACCTATCTTCAGCGAGAGATTAAATGAGTATCGCTTTTCAGGATACTTTTAGCTGAAGCTGAGGTCAGACTGAGGGCTGAGCTCAGGTGGGCTGCTGGGCTGTTTGTGGAGGGAAATGCTCTTTGATGGGGTGTTACTGAAGCCTGTCAGCCAGCAGTCACCTGTTAGGCTGGTATTTTCACTGTTGCCAGCAGAGGGTACTGTCAGCCTCCCCCGCTGCTCTGTACAGCTCAGCCTGTCCCTTGCATACCGGGAGCCAGTGCCTTTTGCTGCTGCTTTGAGGATCTCAGGCAGGACAGAAGGCCCTGACCTGCTGCCCTTGGAACAGAGCTGAGACTGGCTGCTGCGAGCCTGCTGTGGTGGAGAGCATGCATAAAACGGCCTGAAACTACAGTCAGGGATCAGAGCAGCTGCTGTTTGCCTTGTGACTTTGCTTACATCTTGAGCAGAGGGCTCTTGTCAGCCTGAACAATGCGGTAGTTAGAGCAGGTGAGGTGGCTGTGGGTACTGTCTTAGTCACAGGAAGAGTGACCTGGCAGTGGTGCAGATTCTGCACTGATCTCATGGGTTTCCTCTGGATCCGTCCTTTACATTTCTGAAGCTGATCTGTCTGCAGGCGGAGGAGCAGCCCTGAGGCCATGCCTTGCTTGGGAACGTTTCCAGGGAGGCTGCTGTGGCAATATGTGAAGATCATATTCTAGCTATAGACCTGCAGCATACCTAGGCCTCTCTCCTTTGTGGGTGTCTGTTTTTAGGGGGGTGATACATCAGTGACCATGCTGGGGCTTTCCTGGTAGAGTAGCCAGAGAACTGAGAGTGGTTTTGCAAGATTGGTATGAGAGACCAGTAGGTTGGGACACATGGATCAGAAGTTGGTTCAAGACCCATCTGTGAAATTTAGTGCAAGGAAACATTTTGATTGTTGATTTTTGCGGTGTGTTAACCTTGGCTGGCTGCCAAGTACCCACCAAGATGCTCCTTCTCTCCTCCTCAGTAGGGTAGGGGAGAAAATACGATAGAAAAGATTGTGGGTTGAGGTAAGGACAGAGAGATCACTCACCAGTTAACCATCATGGGTAAAACAGGTTCGACTTAGGGAACTAAAATTAATTTTACTGCCAGTTAATAACAGAGTAGGATAGTGAGAGTTGAAAGCAAAACTAAAATCACTTTACCCCTCATCCACCCTTTTTCCCAGACTCAACTTCTCTCCCAGCTCGTCTATCTCCATTCCTGCTGAGTTGTGCAAGGGATGGGGAATGGGAGTTGTGGTCAGTCCATAACACTTGATCTCTGCTGCTCCTTCCTCCTCACATTGTTCCCCTGCTCCAGGGTGGGTCCCTCCTGAGGGGTGCAGTCCCTCAGGCACAGACTGCTCCAGCGTGGGTCCCCCACAGGGTCACAATTCCTGCCCAGCAAACCTGCTCCAGCGTGGGCTCCTCTCTCCACGGCGCCACAGCTCCTGCCAGGAGCCTGCTCCAGCACGGGCTTCCCATGGGGTCACAGCCTCCTTCGGGCATCCCCTGCTCTGGTGTGGGGTCCCCCATGGGCTGCAGGTGGGTGTCTGCTCCCCCGTGGAGCTCCCTGGGCGCAGGGCACAGCTGCCTCCCCATGGGCTGCCCCACGGCTGCAGGGGAACCTCTGCTCTGGCACCTGGAGCACCTCCCCTCCTTCTGCACTGACCTAGTGTCTGCAGAGTTGTTGATCTCACATATTCTCACTTTTCTCACCTAGCTGCTGCGCAGCATGTTTCACCCTTTCTCCAATACGTTACCTTGGAGGTGCCACCAGCATTGCTGATGGGCTCAGCCTTGGCCAGCGGCAGGTCCATCTTGGAGCCATCTCTCTCTGACATGGGTACAGCTCCTGGTGTCTTCTCACAGAAGCCACCTCTGAAGCTCTCCCTGCTACAGAAACATTGCCACGCAAATCCAATACAATTTTTTCCTACTTACACCTGTTAAATCTGCTGTTTGAGTCCAAATCTGCTACCTGTGGTGAGGGGTTTGTGCTGTGGCTTTTTCATTGTGCCTGGAACACCATGTTAGAGCAGCAGTTAAGGGGAAACAGCTCAAAACAAAGAGAATGTACTTCCCCCAGAGGAAAAGGTCTGTTGTGTTTGACACATGGACTCTTATCCACAGGTTATGACTGTCCGGCTACTGAAGGGATCTTTGAGTATGCGGCAGCCGTGGGAGGAGCCACCATCACTGCAGCCCAGTGCCTGCTGGACGGCAAGTGCAAGGTAGCAATTAACTGGCCTGGAGGGTGGCATCATGCAAAGAAGTAAGAAAACAATCTCTTCCCTTGTGTTTTCTCACCTGGTGTCTGAACCCCACCTCCTAGCTCCCAGCTGCCCTGTGAACCCACAGGGTGTGGTGATCCAGCTGGAAGAGAGAGCAAGGTGTGAGTGGGGTGAGGGAAGGCAGGAGGTAGATAAGAAGGGAGCACAGTGTAGGGCAGAGGCCTGAGAGTAGGCTGGTTACTGCCCTGTCCTGGGGCTATCATGGACTGCAGTGCTAGTCTGGGGCAACTATGTTCAGAGGTGTCTCACCATCCATTGATACTTGGTTATCTCTGGGAGTTCAAATGAGAATTTATTTTGTAGTCCATAGAGAAGGGCTGTGGAGAGGCAAATGATTGGTGTCGCTCCCAGTTTGGAAGAGAATGGGAATGTGGCAACATGTTGTCCAAATTGTGGGGTTTTTTGTTTCTTAACAATGAAAAAAGAGGTTTGAAACAGTGCAGGACTGACCTCTGGTTTTCCCCATGCTCCCATGGGTGGCTGTTTGCTCTGAACTGTAATGTCAGTAATGATCTTCCAGAACACAGGAGAGGAAGTAAAAAATTTTGTCCCTGAATCCTGTGATTCTGTAGTGGTAAAATAATTTGTTTCCATGGCTTCCCCATTTTCCATGGGTGTATGTTTTATTTTGCATCCCCCCTAACTCCCAAAGCATGAGGCCTGTCTGCAGATGCAGACAAGAAGCATCCTTCCTTGTCCCCAGCTAACTGGCCTCTGCAGTGCCAATCTATTTCCCTGGGAAGCCCCAGTAATTAGCATGAACCATGTGTCTAACCCTGACAGCTTGCACATGAGTATGCAGGTTTCTCTTCTTGCTCTGGTGGCTTTTCTGACCTGGCAGAGAAACTCTGGAGGTGTAACAGTGGTGTGCAAACACCAGTGATAGCAAGGTCTTATCAGGACCCTTTTCCTGGTCAGCACTTTGCTGAAGATGGGTTCAGCTACAGCTTGATGAGAAAAGAGAGAGCTTAGCTTGGCTGAGCTGAGCCTTCTTGCGTTTTGCGGGAGGGATGGCTTTTCAGAAATCTTGTGTTCTCTTTTATCTTGATTGTGTGATTTATAAAATGGCTGTAACAGAAGAAATCTTAGCAGTCTTGCAGTCACTGAGCTAGCTGTGCTATTAGCACTGTTCTGGGAAGTAAACAGTCTGTTTAAAAACGGCATTTATTACTTACTGATCCCACAGGAGCCTTCTTAGTCACCCCAGTGAGGTGGTCTGGGATGCTCTGGGATTGGCAGCAGCTGTAGTACGTGCCAGTCCAGTGTGAAGATCCAGCCAGGCTGACACCCAGCTGCAGGTGCCTGGTGCTGGGACCTGTGTCCCAGCAAAATACATGTCCTTTTGTTAAAAAAGACCTGCTGTCTGGTGGCCTAGTTACTTTTCAAGGTCAGAAATGTAGGAATGTTAACCACTGTGACCTGAGGCTTTTGAAGCTCCCAGTTCACTGATATGCCTTTGGGGCAGAGGGTGAGAGACTGAGTTGGTGCCTTTTCTTGACTCAGCCCTGCCCTCCCTTCAGGCAGTGGCAATCCGAGCTCTGCTCTATGGATCTGTGGGGTGGGAAATCCAGTGCTGGCCCTGAGCTGCAGCTCTGACACTGGTCAGCCTCTGTCTGAGCTGGTGTTCTGCTCTGCTTGGCCTCAAGTTTGAAGGAGATTGTATGTTACAGCACGGAGAGAGTGCCTGAGACATGACATAGTTCACTTTGCTTCCTTGCAGGCTGGGAAGGAGGGGAGGAGTACAGTGTGTAATCACAGTTAAAGAAAATTCCCAGGACACCTGCTAACATCCCAGTTCTCAGCATCACTGTAAATAAGCAGAGTCACTGGGAAGCATCTGTGCTTCATGATATTTGCAGGGAGTAAGCAAGTGCAGTTCTGCCACGCTGTGCTTGCTCCTCACTGTTTCCAGCTGTTTGTTAACAGGGGAGTGGCAGGGGAAATGAGCCGAGTGCTGTGGCTGAAAGTCAAGAAACATTTCCAAGAGGCACATCTTAGATCCTGAAGTTGTTTGAGCCTGGGGGAGAGGGATTTGGACACTACTGTTGTAAAGTATAAAGCTTTGGTTTAAATCAGCTATCCAGAGCTGACCTAGGACAGCATATGGGCTAGCGCCAAGTGGTGATGGGGACTTGACTTCGAAGCAAGTCTGGAGTAGGGATTAAGAAACTTCCTTGTTCCTTTAATGCTAGCAATATGGAAGCTGCCCCCTGATGTATGTCAGGGATAAATCTTCCCTGAAACAACTGTCCTCTGCTTAGCTGCTGGGGCTCTCTTCTATCTGAGTCCAGGAGCTGTATTGTATGGGACTGCATGTGGGGCATCCTGTTTGCATTTTCCTGGGGAGGAAGGGCGAGTGTTGCTTTGGAGAGAGGCCTGGCCTTCATACCCTAAGACTTTGGAACAGAGCAGCAGAGTGTTGTGACTGCCTTGAACCTGGCTTTCACTGCCGGGACCTTTCCAGGAGCTGTGACCTGGACAGCAGGAATGGAATGGCTCCCTGCCTGTGTCTGTCCAGCGCTCAGGAAAATGGCCAAGCAGGACTGTCCAGGGGTCTATCCTCTTGCCGCAGAGGTAGAGGAGGTACACAGAGAGTGAGTTTGAGTAAAGCGGCTCTGAACTTTAAAATATCTCAAGATGCAGAAAGCTAATGTTTTGTTTGTGAAATGGTCAGAGGTACACTGACAAGCCCCCATGGGTCAGGGCCTCCCTGCAGCAGAGCCTGCTTATGCTTTACCAGCTGCCAGCAAGCCCAGGGTTGAGAAACAATTGGCACAAGCAGTCATGTTCTCTGTGCTTCCCAGCCATGCTTTGAGCTGCTCCTGACATATCCCTTGGTCACTGCTGAGTGTTGGTTGGGCTCTTCATCCTCCTCTGTGCCCCTGCAAGGTGGAGACTTGTAAAGTAAAAGTGACAATGCCGAGATCAGTGGTGATTGCATTGGCAGTGTTCAGCCTCACGGACATTGTTTTCACAGAGATGAAGCTTCTGGCTTCTGTTACCTGAATGATGCTGTCTTGGGGATCCTGCGTCTGCGCCAGAAATTTGACCGTGTCCTTTATATCGATTTGGATTTGCATCATGGGGATGGTAAGGCCCAGCTCAGGCTGCAAACAGCACAGCTGCACAGACTGAGGGGGAGGAATGGGAGAAGTCAAGACCTGTTGTGGCATTAGGACTTTACCTGCTGCAACAGCCGTGGCTTTGCCACTCCTTTCAGTGCAGTCAAGTTCGCTCAATCCATTTCTGCTTTGTCCTGCATTATGGATTTGCCCTGTGCTGCTCATGGGACCTCTCTTAAGGGTCTGGGCAGTAGTCTTGTACCTGAAGCAACAAAGAGCATGTTCTCATTCTAGTAATCTCCTCTGCCAGTGGCTCTCCAGCAAGGACTTCCCCCACTCCCTTGTCTCCCATCCCAGCAGAACAGCTACTGACAGTGTTTAATTGTTTAATGCCATCAGTGCAAGAGGGAAGCAGTCAGTAGTAAACGGTGCTGTTAAAAGAAGGCTTGATGCTATAAAACTAAAGCCAAAGCTGGCCGTGCAGAAACTGCTCTCTCCTTCAGGGACATTATTTCAACACTATTTAACATTTCCTGCTCTCCTAAATTTTATGGTGTGTTTCATTTTGCTCCGTTTTACCTCCACATTTGGTTTCTGTTAAGTTTCCTGTTACTTCTTTTTCCCTCCCCACCCCCACTATTTTAGTATGTCTAAGGAAAAGAAGAAAGCATGTTGAACCACAGCAGCACTGAGAAAAAGCAAGAGAGCCTGGTAGCTCTGGTTCTAATCAGAGCCAAGCTCTGGCCAAGGCATCTCTGCTCAGCTCCCTCCCCCAGCCTTCCAGGCCAAGCAGTGCAGGCAAGTGCTGCTAACGTGGGCACTGACCTGAGGTATTGAGATCCATTTAGTTCTGATTAACATGAGACCTGCCAAATTCATTGCAGTTGTGACCTTTGTTGCAGTTGAATTCGTGTCTCCATTGATTAAGGCTGTATTTACTGGGCCACATCTGTTTTTTTGCTTTGTTCATTCTGTTCCTGCTCTGCTTGCTCCCCCTGTGTTTATCAAGTGGCTTGTTTCTGTGTTTAGCCACTGTCATTTATGTGAATGATGCATGAAAGCTTTTTTTCTCTTCCCTTTCTGATAGGAGTTGAAGATGCCTTTAGTTTCACCTCAAAAGTCATGACTGTTTCTCTGCACAAGTTTTCACCAGGATTTTTCCCAGGCAAGTTAAACTTGTCAGGTGTGTGCTAATTCACAGATTGCTGACTAGGCTCCAGCAAAGGCAAGTCCTATTCCTTCTGTCCAGCAGAGGTGGCTTGCTGCCTCTCCTTTGACTCAGGAGGAAAGAGGGGCAACTGCATGTTTCTCATTTCCCTTTTTCTGGTTGTGACTAAGCTCTGGGCAGAGCCACTGCTGGGTGGCCATCTGCAGCACTTGAAAGCTGCATGACAGAATTGGGTAGAGGGTGAGAACCAGGTCCATCCAACCCCTTCTTTGTTGATGGTGGCGCGTGGACTTCTCCATAAGCATGTCGGAGATCTTGGCTCTCTGCTGTCATATGAGACATCCCACACATTTCTCTTGCTGCTGATCCCCTTTCCCTCGTAATTAACCATGGGGTGTTTCTCTTTTCAGGCACTGGTGATGTGACAGATGTTGGCTTGGGGAAAGGCCGCTATTACAGTGTGAATGTACCTATTCAAGATGGCATTCAGGATGAGAAATATTACCAGATCTGTGAAACGTAAGCCTTTTGCTCTGATACAGTTTACTTGGATGTGATTTTATGGAACAGAGACTGCACAGATTTTGTTTATTGACAATTTTTAATTACAGTCCTTCCTTATGGCTTGTGCTTTCCCCTGTTACAGGTTTTGATTACAACAGACACGGATCTTAAGAGTTCTCAGAGGGTCTGTCTGAATCCTTAGACAAACTGGATATACAGGGGCATTTGTGGGTGGCTGGAGGGTCTCTCTGCCACAGGTCAGCCTTGTGTTTTTAAGCCTTGTGGGTTTTTTTAAGGAGAGTTTGAGAAGGGACAAGTACTTTTTAGCTGTGGACTTAGGGCTACTTTTTCTTCAAATAAATGCTCTGAATCCTTACCATCTGTGGGAGATGTGTTTTGGGCTCAGCTGAAAGTGTTTTCCAAACACCTTTTGTCTATGCTGGAAGTCTGGAAGGCTGAATGTCTGCTGGTGATTGAGCTGCCTCTTGGCAGACTCCCCCTGTCACTCAGTTGTTGATGGACCCCACAAGCTGTTGCCCATGTCAAAACTGGGCTGTGGGGCTTGTTCCTTTCAAGGGGAGAGGAGCCTCAGCACAGGGCTGCAGAACACGGTAGCACTCAGCTCTTGACACTGAGGGCTGAAGCCTCTCCGGACCAGTAGCCCATTAGGGCAGTCATGCTGTGGCCATGCCTCCTGCTAGCTTGTTGGTGCTTGTCACTGCTGGTGACAGAGCAGCCCCTTCCTGCTGGTGGACATGTTTCCAAAAGGCAGGGCAGCTTTAGGGGTGAGTAGGGGTTAGGAGCCCAGACAGGAGAGCCCCTTGCATGCATTCCTAATTGAAGGACATCAAAACCTACCACAGGTTCCAAGCTGCATATATCCAAAGCAGCTACAGAGAAATTTTGACATCTCCTGGGCAGAGACAAAGAGTTCTGTCCTGGCTGGGAGAGTCATGTTTATGATTATGGGTGTCCAACTGATGTCTGAGGATGCTTGCCTCTGCCTCCCAAACCCGTGGTGAGATCAGAGTGCGTGACTCCCTTTGACATGGGTTTCTGCAGGCTGACAACACCCTGCACACAGCATTTCCTTGTATTCTTCTGTGTCCCCTGCTGGTGAGAGGAGACCTGCTCTTTGGCAGCCCTTTGCTCCTTGCAGAGGTGCTGCCAGATCAGGCGTTCCCAAAGCAAAAGCCAGGGAGATGCTGTTCAAAAGAGTCTCACCTCCCTTGGTGTCAGGGACAACTGCCTCCCCAGTCTCAGTGGAGGCTGATGTGCTGCACCACAGTAATATAAATAAATGGGGAAGAATTGTGCTCTTGGCATCTTGGAGCATGTGCACTTTGAACTTGCCTCTCTATAAATTATGATGTTTGGGTTTGATCGCCTTTGTTCTAGTAGATGAACTCCTATCCTGTGTGGCACAGAGATAATTGCCTCTTGTTTCTGGAAGTTGTACAACATGGGCTCTGATTAAAGTATATTGTTACTAATAGCTTCTCTGTGGAAGGGGGACCAGTGACATTATTTATTTTCTGGAAGGTCTGATGTCTTTAAATTTTGAAGACAAAGGCAGCCAGAGATGATAAGTTTCGGAGTTGCTATGAGAGTGGCAGCACCTGACCTAGATGCAAAGTTTGTGGTGTGCTCTGTTTGTGCAGAGATGTGTCCAAGGCACGTTCCCACTAAGAGCCTTCCAGGAGCCTACCTGCTCACATAGTCTCTTCATCAAAAGAGAAAGTTATGATGGGTCTGGCTGATTGTAAGCATCCAGAATAGCTGATTTGCTTTATCACCTTCCAAAACTGTTCACACTGATGAATGAAATTGTTTCTGAAAAGATATCTTTACCTGGAGTTTAAATATTAACCTTTGAACACTATAAAAAAAAAAAAAGCAGTATGTGAGAAACATTGCAAGTGCAGAAAAGTAAATTTAGAAATAATACAGACACATTCAAAAGCATTATTTTTGCTCCAAAGACAAAAAGAAATCTGAGTTATTTTAAATGGCTGCAGTAGTTGGCTTGATAAACTTGCAATTAATTACAGCTGAAAGTCAAGATAACGCATCAACTATTTGTCTTCTAGTACTATCCAGAATGTAAAAACCAAATGAACCCACCCCAAAATCTGAATGTTGTTTGGCCTGTCTTTGTATGTGATGCAAGGGAGCTGTGCTAGCAGTGTGTGAGCACGGATCTAGTGAAATTCTGCTTTAGCTGGGGCAGACTGGACTGTGTGACAAATACCTACTCAGGTTATGTTGGTGGAGAAACCACTTAGTAACACAAGTCACTTACAAGGAAAGCATGTGGGACCTTTGTGGCACCAAAGGCTTGTCTGCTATCTAGAAAGAAGATACTAATTCTCTGTTTACAGTGTCTTAGGAAACAGGATGACTGTGGTGGATGTGTTGCATCCCAGCAGCCAGCTGTCTCGGTTCCTTTGGATGTACCTTGTGTGACACTGCTTGGTGCTGGGACCACAGGCTGGGGTCTCCTCCTGCTGCCTGCAGTGTCACAGACAGAGGCTGATTGTTCTCAGGGCATGATATAGGAGCAGCAAGGCCAGTTCCCCCTTCTCTGATCTGATCTGCTTTTTCCTATTCTTTAGGCTTTTGGCAAAATGAAGAATAATTATTTTTAATCCTTCTAAGTGAGGGCTTTCAACTTCTGACAACATGTAGGCACCTCCAGTGTCCCAGATGGCAACATGGCTCTCTGTATGGCCCCTGATGGTTGGTTGTCTTTCTTGTGGTGCCTCCTGTAAAGCCCTTAGACAAAGAAGCCCCAGATGGGAAAATCCAGACTAGACTTCTTGGGTTTTTTTGAAGCAAAAGTTTCTCACTTGCAAGAATAAGACTGAAAACAGAGACTGCTGCTTCTTGGGAGGCTGCAGTATTGCTTTCACAGAGGATCCAGCTGTGCCTGTTCCTAGCTACTATGGGTCAAGGGTATCTACTGGCGCATCATTCACCTCATTTCACTGTTGGGGAGGAGGCCAGCAGAGAGGTGAGTGGCCTCTTCCCAGTGGAGTGCCAGTCTAAAGCAGACAACAGTGGGGGGAAAACAAGATCAAAAAAACAGAGCTACTTCCCATGCTGCTGTGATGGGAGGAAATGTTGTGTGGCACTGGTCCTCTTCCAGTGGCAGTGTCACTGGGGCTGTGAAATTTTGACTGTAGTTCTGGGCTTGAGCAATTGCAGAAACCTGTTATCTTCCATCCTCCCTGTCAGCTGCTGACTGTTTTAACTGTTCCTCTGACCTCTCTGGGGGTAACAAAAGGCGACTTCTCTGTCAGCTGCTTCCTTTGGGGGCTGGCAAAGTGGCAGTGAGTTAGATACTGCTGAAAGAGCAAGCTTGGAGAAGTCTGAAAACTGTCATCATCTGTTCATCTCCACTGCAAGGGCAGGCAGTGCAGCCCTGCCTTGGCACACCGCTCTGTCAGGCCGGAAGGGAACCGCTGAGGTCACCTTGTCTTCATGGCCCTGTGTCATGTATGAAACTTCCCTGAACTTGATAGTTCAGGAGCAGGAAGGGGGCAGAACATCCCCTTGGCACATGTGCCAAATGAGTGCTGGGTCCTCGCTGGCCGTGCCGTGCCCTGGCCTCAGTGACCAGGGGTACCATCCCACTGGAGCCAACTGTCACAGGTCAGAGGTTCCTGCACTGCAGCTGTGAGGTGTGAGAGATCTTCACCGTGTTTATGATACATCTCAATGCGAAGTCAGTTTCTTAGCTGGGATTAGTCTGTCATTATGGAGAGGTGTATAAGGAGTTCCCAGTCAGGCTTGAAGCTCTGATAGTGTGACTGAGCTGGTCTCCCTGAGCAATGCTGTCAGAAGGGGAGAAGAGTCCCATTCCCACTGCCTTACCCTTGGGTGCTCCCTCCCTTCCCCTCTTTTCCTTGCTGTGAACCAGTTTAGGGAGTTAACCTAGCAGAAAACTAACCCTGCTAAGTGATGCTCTGCTAGTTCAGCTCTCTGAAACTGCACACTGTGGGATTGGAGCAGCTGTGCCATAAGCAAAAGGAACGGGCTGGGAAGGGTGGGTGGAAGTGACTACCTGCTGCAGTGTGGTCAGTTGGCTTTGTCAGCTGAAGCTTGGAGCATGCATGCGTATGAGGGCCCATCAGCATCTGGACAGGGCTGAGACTCCAGAGCAGTCCTGCTGACTTCCTAAAACACCAGGAAGAATTACTTTGTTGCTGAGCACAACATGGAGGAAGAAGGGGGCTAAGCTACCCTTATGCATTAACAGAGATCCCAGCAGCTACAGACAAATGTCACGTCAAGGAGATATTTATCATTCAGGTAATGTCTGCAATGTGCTTTGAAAATGAAAAGCCCTGGGAGAGAGTGAACTTGGTTTAAGAGTCCTCATGCAGCTAGCAAACGCCTGCAGGGATGGGCTAAAAGACTTTTCTCCAACCTTGCTGGGTTTTCTCTGTCCTTGCTGGGAGACCTTGTTGACAAAATAGTAGGAAGCCTTGGCCTGAAATGAGTTTCACTGGGCAAATAATAGAAGAACTCGTGATAGTGATTTTGGTGGAAGTGGCTGTTCTTGCATAGTGAGATTGGTGAGGGAGCAGGGGACCCCAGCCTTTGGCAGCGAGAAGTGAACCTTCCTCTGTCCATGTTATTTCACATGCATCTGCCTGTTTCTGATGGATCCATGAGGAATGTAAAAGTTCCCAGGGAATAAGTGAGCTGTTTGAACTGGCCAGTGTCAGCTGCTGGTATAGCAAAAATGGAGAAGCGTGTTCAAGAGAGATGGGGAAGAGGGATCCAGAGACAGCTCACAGGAGCTAGACGTGCTTGCAGAGGTCTGAGTGCAGGCGATGAATGCCCTCACCAGCACCCGACGGTGTCGGGAAGCCCTACAGTGTTTGAAGGAAACTGATCCAGTCCTCCTTACTCCAGGGAAGTGGGTCTTGGGCAGAGGTGGAAGCCTCTGTCATCCATCCCATCCTTGACATCTGCAGAAGAAAGGCTGACTTTGGTCCCCTTCAAGAAGGAAGCTTATGCTGATGTGACTGCTCTTTCCATGGCACTGTGATTTTCACCATCTGCCTCGGTTTGCTTAGCTTGGTGGGACTGTGGGGACTGTGTAGGCTTGGGAGCTGTCAAAACATGAGTGGTGTGAGTAGCTCTCAGCTACCTGGCCCTGCCAGGTACCTGGGTGCTGGGGCCCGGCTGTCGGCAAGTCTGGGCTGTACTGCCATACCTGGAGTGAATACACATACTGAATGGAAATCCTCTTTTCCCTCAGGCTCACTTATTTGGTCTTGGGAGGTGGGGGTTTGAGTTTTTTTCCCCCCAGAGTTTTTCTCCTCACCAGTTGAGATTTTTCTCAGCACTGCCTGTATTTCAGTAGTGAATTTGTTGTGCTCATAGAGCTGATGGCCTCAGCCCTGCAGGCATCTGCCTTGGCAGACCGAACCGAGCTCAGTGGGGTTCCTTGTCTGGGTGCAGTGACTGGCAAAGTTTCTTGGAGCGAGCATAGGTAAATGCAAGCTCTTTGTCCCGGGGAAGCAGCTTTCTTGTTTGGCACCACAGTGGTTTCTAATTGCATATCAAATAAGGTCTAGCAATGCTTAGGTTCTCTTAACCAAGGCAAAAGCATTTATTCCAGGGTTAACATCTGTTTCTACTTTAGCAAAATAAAAACACCGTTGTGAAAGGAACATGTTTTTCTCCGTTATTTGCCTTGTATTTTGGTCTTTGGAGCACAGTGCTGGGAACAAGATTATTCCCTTTGTGGTGTTTGTAATACTAAAAATCTCCTGGAGTGAAGCCAAATATCTGATATGCCCAATTGCCTTCTGCAGGAGAGAATATTTCTAATAAACTATCTGCAGGACACTAGCCCTGCTGCACCTAGCATCCACTAGAGCCAGGGGGGGATGTGTTTCTGCCTCACAAGCCACATGGTAGAGAGGAGAGTGAGAATCTAGACGGAGCCACTTTCTGTTCATCTTGTCCTGTCCTGGTGAGAGGTGTCTGAGAGTTTAGGATTATTGTTTTGTCAGACCCTGCTCTTCACTGTGACTTTTACAGGGGGGGAAGCTTCTGGATTTGGCTTGCAGCCCTTCCGCTCAGGGCAGCCAATGTAAATATGTGGTTTGATGCTACCACTAATCCACCTCCCCTGTGTTCTCAGTGATGCTTTTGCCTTCATCAGCCTTGTGATGAGCACTTTGAGAGCTAAACTTACTGCAGGAGAGTAGCAGAGGCAAAAATCTAACTGGGAACAGAGGGGCATGGGAGCAGAGAATGCAGAAACCTTGAGAGGCACCAGTGGATCTGATTGACCAGAGCCATGCCACTAGCATCCCTCTGAGCCACATTTGTGGTAACCCCACCACCACTTCTCCTCTCCACAGCGTGCTGAAGGAGGTGTACGCCGCATTCAACCCAGACGCGGTCGTGCTGCAGCTGGGGGCAGACACCATTGCCGGAGATCCCATGTGCTCTTTCAACATGACACCTGAGGGAGTGGGCAAGTGCCTGAAGTATGTCCTGCAGTGGCAGCTAGCAACTCTCATCCTGGGAGGAGGTGAGTGCACGTGCATCCAGCTGTTCACAAGGAAACACGTTTGTCCTCCTGAGACCCTTCCTTAAGGGTGTGCCCTGGGCTCAGCATGGGCTGGAGCTTAGCAGGGTGCCTGCCAGGCAGTGTCAGGAGGGCACTCTGTGGTGCAGCACTGTTTTCTCACACACCTGAAATCCATGATACTGACAGGTGCAAGTCTCAATCCTGATCTTAAGATCTTGAGTTAAAGGCTGCTTGGCTCCTCTGGAGAAGAGCAGAGACTGTTAACTCCAGTGAACTGACCATGGCTTCTCAATGACACCTCTGATTGATTCCCACCTTCGGTGCTTCTCTTTAAACGCAAGTGCTGTTGTCCCAAACCTGCCTTGGGCATCTGGCAGTGAATGATTTTGTTTGAATTCAAGCAGGGGCTTGGGAGCAAGTCTGCCTGCCTGCATGGTACAGCAGTGCTGATATCCAGCGAAAGCTGAGACTGACTTAGCTCTGCCGTGCTGCATAACCAGCTTCCTGTCCAGCAGGGAGAGTGCACGACAGGCTTTATGGAACAGAGCCTTACATAAAAACAAAAGCCACTGTGTGCCAGGGAGAGCCCCCCAGCTCTGTGCCTGGAGCCATATCAGCTCTGGCTGTCGTCCTTTTTGAGATGAGGGAGGTCAGGTATAGCGTGTTAAGTCTAAAATTTGAACTTTAGAAAGGTTGCGAGTGTTCAATCCTGCTGTGGCATGTCTGTGGGTGTGCTGGGGATGGCACCTTTCAGGCAGAAAGAAACCCCAAAGCTTTTATCAAAAAATGAGCATCAGCTATTTGTCACTCATGGAAATACCAAAGGAACATCCAACCACCGCAGCTTGTGGAAGCATTTGAAGTGGAAATTAGGGGAGGAGTCAATACTTGCAAGAGAAAAAAGCAAAGCAACAAAAAAACCCAACACAAAACCAAAAAACCCCCAACAACCCAAGAGAAAGGAATGTTGAAAAATATCATCTCCCTCTCTTTGCAAAGTGTTTTTCTCTCTTATTATTTTAGTCATCTTTGCTGGAAAAAACCTTCTGAGTCTCTTGCAGGATTGCTTTCAGCTAAGGTTTCTCCTTGTGGGCTCATGTACCATTACCATACTGACTGTGAAACTTCATTTGCTTATAAAGCAGTCACAAGTTGTACTAATGAGCTTCATATTTGCTCTCTCAGACATGACAGTGCTGAAGAGCTCATCAGTGAATGGCTGGGCCTGTCTTTTATGCTTTCTGGGTTGAAGGCTGGCATTAAAAATCAGGAACCCCCTGTCTCCACTGCTGCCCTTGCACTTCTCTCCCTGTTACTTTTGAATGCTCCTCCTTGTTGCCAGGAGGGATCCCAGCACATGGGGCCAGGAGCTTGTGCTGGGTCTGAGCTGGTGGCTAGAGGATCTTGGGCTGTGTCATGCTGGATGTAACTGGGGTTCACTTTGGGAGGTCTGTCTTGGGTGGGTACCTGTCTGTACAGGTGTCACATGGACCTGGCCTTGTGTAGCCAGCAGGTGCAAAATGCAGTTTGTAGGCACAGCTTGAGTGGATGCAATAAACTTGAATTCATGTAAACTGCATGTGTTGCCTCCACAATTTGTTCCTTCCACTAAAATCTCTCTCTCTTCTCTTTCCCTACTTTTCCCCCTCCAAAATCACAATTCTTGCTGGAGACAGGAGGCTACAACCTTGCCAACACAGCTCGCTGCTGGACATACTTGACTGGGGTCATCCTTGGGAGAACGCTGTCCTCCGAGATCCCTGATCACGAGGTAAAGTTTTGACAAACCTTCCCTTCTCCTTGCGTGAGAGCTGAGTCATTCTACCTAATCCAAACGGCATCCTTGCTGCTCAATGCTGTTTTGTTGAGACACTCCTGTAACAATAACGCACTGTCCTAGCAGCATAGTGGGTGCTTGTTCCCAAAACCTGAGGCTGTCCACATCTTTTTGCAAGGGATCTCAGGAACCAATAAACTCCGATCTCAGGTAATTACAGAGAGGATTGGGG